GGCACTGCCGGCGAGGCTGAGTCACGGGGCGGTGTGCCTGTCACGGTGCACGTGGGCCCGTGGCCGTGACTCAGCCCCACAGCTGCCAGCGCTCGCCGCCATGCCAGCGACTCCTGCTTCTCCCTGGGGCTTTGTGCCGGAGCCCCCGCGGGTGAATCAGAGCTGGCTTTGTGCCGGGCTTCGGGGAGACTGTGGTCCTCGGGTGGAGGGGAGGGTGCTCCGCATGGCAGGGGCCTCTACGAAGCGAGGAGGAGGAGGAAGAAGGGGACCGCACACAAAGGGGGATTAAAGAGCATCTCCTGGTGCAGGTGGGAGGAAGGATCTGTCCCACCAGGGGGGATCGCACCGCCCTGAAGCAAAAAAGTGAAGGTGCTGGGGTTCGATTTGCCCGTTTCTGTGTACAGCACGGGTAGCTGGGTTGGAAAAAGCAAGCAAATGGCTCAGGCATGGCTGGTAGGTCCCGTGCGAGGGATGGGTACGAGCTCGAAATGCAGGGAAGGAAAGGGGAGCTCCTGCCTTGCTCCCTGCAGCTGCATCCCCCCGGCCACCCCAGCCCTGGTGCTCACACCGCACTGGCAGGAGAAACAAAAACAAGCATCTCCAAGGAGTGTGTTTGGAAAATACCAGGTTTTATTAGACAGGCTGATGTTCAAGCTGACAGGTTTATCCCAATGCACATGATCACGGGCAGCTACGTGTGTCCCAGCTCCCTCCCTCCTATGACGCTCTTGGGCGAGATGCTCACCGCCCTGGTGCCACGGGTGCTAGGGCTTGGGGTTTCTTGGCAAAATGAGAAGGTATCCCTGCTCCTCATTTTTACTCCCAGATTCCCAGAGCTCTCCTAAGAGAGCTTGGAGAAAGCTGGGCTGGGGACTGCAATCCCTTTGGTACTGACAGCCACTTGGATCCACGGGAGAGAAAGCACCTCGGCGTCGGCATCTCCCCGAGCCAGCACGGAGCCGTCAGTGTGCATCGCAGGGAGCAGAAAACAGCCCCAGCTTCAGACCGTCGCTGCCGTCGCTTTGGAAAGAGAACCCTGATGTACAATATCAGGGGGAAAAAGGGTTTTGGCTGTCACAGGAGCCCCATCCAGGACAGGGACACCAGGGCTTTGCACAGGGTACGCGGGTGATGAAGGGAAGAGAAAGGGAGGAGGGGAGGCAATGAGTGGTGGAGGATAAAGCAAAAGAAAAGGAAAACAGAGGAGGGATGGGGAGAACAATGGGAGTGGCCTGAGAGCAGAGTGGTGGTGCCTTTGGGTTCAAGGCCGTAAGGAAGAGTCAGAGGTCCTTCCTGGGATGAGGGGCCTTCCCCTGAGCCCATGAGCTTTAGGGGGGACAGGGCAGTGAGGAAAGACGGTGTGATATAGTGCTTGCAAAGAGAAACATTTGATGGCCTTTGTTGCCGTGACAGTGACACGCAGTGTGTCGGCAGGAACAGTGACAATATTAGCCCCTTTCTGTTGGCATTGCTATTCCATTAGCTCTTAAGAAAATCATGCAGACTAGTCCGGCGGAGGAGAGTGAGAGGCGAGGAGGAGTGGGTGAGACAGAGAGGGACGCTGATGAGCAACAGGATCATGTACAAGAAAGAAGAGGGAACAGCAGCGGAGGCAGGCAGCAGCTCTGGGGCAGGTTTGAGACCTCGCAGCACTGACTCACAAGCACGTCACTTCTCTCCAGGCTGTTCCGGCTGCTGCTTTCTCTGACACTTTTCTTGCCTTCCCTCGGGCCGCCGGTCCCGTCTGCACTGCAAGCAAAATCCCTCTGCATGAGCCATGTCCCTTCCCATGCTTGGACGCAGATTTGGGTCTCATCTTCCTTAGTTCAAATGTAGGGTCCTACCTCGAAGCAGAGGCAAGGGGCACGGAAGTCCCTAGGTCAGTGTCCCCCCAGACTCACCTGGACTCGAGGGGACCTCTTCTCTGCAGCACCCGGTCTCAGTGCCAGGGGACGTGGAGCCCCCATGGACGTCCTGTCTTAGCTCACATCCCGCTGAGCACGTGTGGACAAGGGGCACTGCCCTTCACACCCTTCCCATCGCAACAGAGCCTTCTATTCCCAGCTTTCTC